ATTTTAAATACATAGTATTTTAAAATATCCAAACAATGAATTTAAAAATATATATTTGAAAATAATTTATTTTATTTCAATCCAAACAATATATTTTAAAATACATATATGTTAGATTCTCTTTGTTTTTTGATGATGGTTTAAAATCATGATTCAAAAGAATTTAATCTATTTTTGTGTTAAGTGTGCAGGAAAATTAATCTAAGGTTTCTAATCTTTCCCCACGATTAGAATTAATTCATGTTCTCCTTGTTCAGAGTTCTGGGTTCGAACCAATTTATTTTGGTTCGAATCAATCTTAGACTTTTGTTTTCCGAAAAAGGTTCGAAGCAATATTTCTGACTTCGAAGCAAAAATTCTGGAAGGTTAAATTTTGACAGCTCAACTATCTATTTATTCTTAATGGGTCATAGGGTATCTAGGTGTCTTAGCACTTTCCAAAACAAGTCAGAAGAATAAGGTGGAACCATTGGGGCAATTGTGAGGTGGCTTTGAAGGTCTAAATGGGCAATTAATGGCAAGGCTCCCAACCAATTATTAAAACACCAAAAATCAAATCTGAAAAAGAGAGAAGAGGGACGAACTGCTACAAAAACAAGAGTTTGAAACAGTTCTGGGTTTCCTTTTTCTTCTTCTTGTAAGCTTTTGGGTATATTGTCTTACAAGGGTTTTTGTATTCTTCTTGGATTGGGTTAATCCTTGAAGGGGTTGAGTGAGTTGAGATTCACTTGTGAGGGTTTAATCTTGCATCCGCAAGCAAGAGGTTGTTCCGGTTTAATCTTGCACCCGTAAGCAAGAGATTTCTAGTGGATTGAACTCTCGACCAAGGAGGCTTGGGGAGTGGACGTACTCCGGGTTGGAGGAACCACTATAAATCACGGCTTGATATTCTCTTCCCTTTCTTTTTATTTTTCTGCACTTTATTTGCAAGATTACAGTTGATCTTTGTTTTATTTTGCATAACATATTATACATATATATTGAAAACTTCATTCACATTTTTATAAAGGAATAGAATGAGTTTTATATCTTAGGAATTGGCTTGGGGTAGTTGCTGGGATTACAATATATTTTAAATATATGTATTTCAAATATATGTATTTAAAATATACATTCTAAATTCAAATACATGTTTCCAAACACAGCCATAAGGATTTTTAGTGAAAGGTAGAAGTTACTCTTTGTATTTACCAAAAAAAAAAAAAAAA